ATTTAGATTATTTTCATAATTATATTTTCCTTGGTTACAAAGTAACCATACAAAATTACCATAACATATGAATAATTAAATAATTTGACAATTATAGTTCATTAAAGTTTGTGAAGATTCACAAACAGAAGGATTAAAAATGCATATTTTAATTAATTAAAAGCTAAATATGCTTAATTATATATCATTAGGACCGAAATAGAAATTGTTGAACTTTAAGGACTAAAAGCACAAAAATTCCATTACATGAGATTGTACACAACATACACAGAGCAGCGACTATTTTTCACAACAATATTATAGTATAAATAATCTATGGTGGGGTGGTCCATTAATTTCTAGCTAGGGAAGGATAGAATATTCTGAAAATTGGAGTACCAGACAAAAGGGATATTCAGGAAGGAGTGAAGGACCATATATTTATTGGGAATATCACCTAAACTTGTCACCAAGAGAATCTCATGCATAGGACAGAGAGAAAGAAATTACTCCCTCCGTTCCAATGTACGTGAACCCGTTTGACTGGATACGGAATTTAAGAAAAAATAAAGATTTTTGAAATTTGTGGTCCTAAATAAGTTAAAAAAGGGCCCAGAGTATTTGTGTAGTTATAAAAGCTTCTCATTAAGGGTAGAATTGTAAGATTAAGCTAAATTGCTTCCAAATTTAGAAAGGGGTCATTCTTTTTGGAACGGACCAAAAAAGAAATATGTTCACATAAACTGGAACAGAGGGAGTAATTGTTTTTTTTTTTGGAAAAATAACATTGTATAAGCTCTCTCAAAATAATAATCGAATATATATATATATATATATATATTGTATTTATATACATTCTGTATGTTATATAGTAAAATTATACTATATTTTTTTTGGCTACCGAATGTAAATAGTTTGTGGCACGGGCTAAAAGTGAAAAAGCTTTTTTTTTTTTTTTACACAAATTAACAAACAAATATCATTAAAGTTATCACGGAACAGATAGGATCTCTTTACTCTTAATTAGATGTTCGTGTTTGAGTCTCCGGAATAACAAAAATCCTAGTAGAAACACTCTTCTGTTTAATGTGTCTTACGCGACGCGAATTCAGATTAGTCGGGACCGCAAAATAAGTATTGGATGAGAAAAAGAAAGGAGATAGTGGAGAGAATCTGCAAGAAAAGGTGTGTGTTGTTAAGTTGAGGAGTCTTGTACTAGAAGGCTGATTATAGAAAGTGACTTAGCTTCATTATTCACAATACATTTTAAAACAGCTCTTTTTCTTTCTTTTGGCAAAGAGCAAAAGTTAGGGAATTAGATGCAGTCTCTCTTATAGCTTTCTCTTTCACTTTTTAATATTCCTCAAAAAAAAAAGGGCTATGCTGTTACTGTTATGACTGAGTGGAATTTCATATTGGTAGAGTAATAGTGTACAAAAGTGTTACACTATCAGTTTAGTTTAACTTGTCAAACGTCTCGTGTTTGAGTTTTGAGAATACAGTTTGTAGGGAGAGGTAAAACCTCCGAATAATTGGCTTTCTATATTGAAAATTCGGGTTAGTCGAGCCAATGAATTTCGAACATCGAATGCTTAAACAAAAAAAATTCTAATCCTATCTTTATCAGTGGTTACTCGTAATTATTTTTCAATTGGCCTCTAGCTAATATAAAAATTCTTTTACACTATCACTAAATAACTGATAGTCATCTTAATAAATATAGTTCTGAAAGAAAAAGGGAGATACTATAGAAAGAGGATATTAATACTTCAATTGTTTCAATTTATGTGGCGTATTTTGATTAGGTACGATATGAAATAACCTCCTCAAGATACAAATGAATTAGGAGGAATAATTAAGAAAGATATAAGTTAAAAAAGAACTAATATGCAGAACCACAAAATCCCTTCTCTTGAGTGGCCTTCTCATGCCCATACATTTTTTATTTATTTAAACTTTATTATGCTATGATGACTTGAGAAAATTGTACCAAAGTTTGAGTCAAGATCCGAACTTTCTCTAAATCAAGACTCTCCATTGATTTTTGTTAAAAGAATCAATAAAATCAAAAGAACACATTGAGAATTTATCATGAATTTGTTAGATTTACACGGGCTAGCTATAAGTTTATCGCAACCCTTCTTTTTTATCCGAGCTTTTGGAACTAATCGGCAATAATGTGAGCAAGTTAACACAAGGCGGAATTTAAATGGCCAGAGAGGATTCATATATATATATATATATATATATATATATATATATATATATATTCGATTGTAACTTGTTTGAGATTGAGACACAATATTATCATTAACTAAATTAGAAAAAAAAATGAAAATGGAGAATCTACCTACCTTCCTACCACTTCATTAAAGATAATAGCAGAAGAAGATTCTCAATCCTTAAGTTCCTTTAATATACTTTTTTTTCTGAGACATAATTTTTTCTCCTTTTTAAGCTTCGTGGGTTGAGATACTTTTCTCTTCATTACCTTTCCTTAATTTAGAGTCGTAGAATTGGAATTCCAGATATTCCTTCCTTAGTAGCAAATATTATATTCTTTACAAATTAATGAATTTGAATGAACAGATAAGATATTCTCTCTTTATCTCTCTCTCTATTCTAAAAACCAATTATGCAACTTTTGAAGCAAAAAATAAAAAAAGTTACTTTGGTGGTAATTGATACTAAGCACCATCTTGAATATGTCCTCTTTTTCTCACCCATTCTTATTATAAAATAGTAAAAACAATAATGTAAGGGGGTATATGCTTTTGGAAGAAACTTTATTGTAAATTAAATCAAACCATAGAATTGGAATCAAAATTGACACTAAAAAAAAATATTGGTGCATTTGAGTACTTTGTTAAAAGGACAACTCCAAGTACTAATGTAAAATTCTTGCCACTTGTCGGCCCCTAAGAAGATTTTAGTTTATACTTGACATGATAAGTCAATCAAAGGCCGTAGTCATTATTTTTAAATTTTAAAAAAATAGCATAGTCATTATTTTGAAGTAAAAAAAAAAAAACACAATTTCTTTTGACATTTGTTGTAGTATCTTTTAGTTAAATTATATACACTGATATTATAAGATAAATTAATTATTTAACTTTAAGTGTAATTTCACCCTATTATCAAGGGTAGAGCTTGAGTTTCTCGTTATGAGTTAAGCAGAATTCAGTAGTTTTAAACAAATATGTGTATTTATTTTAAGAAATTCACTTACTATACATAAATTATTTATTCAACACCAAGTAAGCTATCTTTTCTAGAACTCATACACTCAAAATTCGCCTTTGTCTATTATAATTATTTAGTTATTAGTTTTATCAAATTACCAAAGCGTACTAATTATTATACTGCTTTATCTCTAATTACCTTACACATTAAATGATATAATTGCATAAATATTTTACATCATCGATATATAAAATTATTCTCTATCCACTTGATGCGTCTTGCATGTGCCTACCAGCTTTTGAAGAATCATTTAATCACAATCCTACTTTACTTCTTGGGATTTACTTATGAGTTTAAGTTTTGTGAATCGTAAAAGTAATAAAAATTTTACACAATTTATTCATTTATTAGGTAATTACGGGTAAATTAATTAATAAACATAATTAATTGATAATCTAAGAAAAATTATAATTAACTTGATATCACATGTCAAAATCCACTTGTAATATAAAAGAATCTGGAAACTGTAGTGTATATGATTTAAATCGTGTATTTGTTGATCTGCTTTTGGTAGATTGAAAGTAGTGAGTATATATACAGAACAAATGAATTATCCAATTTTATTTTGTTGAGATTAAAAAAGAATAGCCGAAAGTTGAGTTTTGAATGAATATTTGTTATGAAGAAAATGATTTTTTACTAAATGAATTTTAAGTGTTTGTTCTTGAAAACGTTTTTTCTGTGGCATACTATAAGATACACATTAAGCCAAAAGGAGGATTATAATCGGAATCTTGAATAACACAACCTACTAAATGAATCTTTTGTAGCATTATTAGTTTAAATATATGAAAAATGTAGGATAAGATAAAAAGAAGTTAAAGGAAAAAAAAAAGTAACACGAGAGGAAGAAGAAGAGAATCATCTTTTATTTCGGTGATTTGAATTTGTATAAAGAGTAAAGACTGTCCCAAAGTCCCAAAGGTTCCAAAATCAGGCTCTTTCCTTTTCTCTAACCACATGACCCTCTCAAGTTTGTAATATACGCGGATTCAAGATTTAAATTTGATAAGTTCGACTATCTGAAGTTATTGGTATTATTTTAAAGGTAACTAGTTTCACGTATTATAAACAACTAACTATAGCTATCTTTTAGATGATATGATCAGTGACGGATCCGGAATTTTAAAGTCATGAGTGTTCGCCGCTAAAAATTTCGAAAGAAGAGAAAAAAGGAGTTTAGTCATGAATGCTCACTCAATATTTATCTAAATATTTTTATAATTACCTATGCAAATGTATTAAATCTGGTCAAAGATAATGGGCGCTTGAGCACCCACAAGAGACCATATAGATCCGCCACGGGATATGAGAGAATAAAACTCTTACACAATTAAGGTATAATTGTATAATAATAGAGTTGTCTCCTTGTGGGCTATAAATTATAAGTTCAAATATAGAATTAGCCACTGGTATTAGCGTCAAGATATACTGCTTAGATCACATCCTTTTAGGATGCGACCCTTTTTAAAACTCTGCATAAACACGAAATGCTTCATGTGCCGGGATACCCTTTAAAGGTATAAAAGTGAAACTCTATAGCCAAATATACCTCACGACAGCATACCCCTTTTACACTTTTATTACCAATCGCTTTTTGCCTTTGCTCTTTGCAAGAAGTTACCATCCTCTTCTTTTCTTTTTTTCTTGTTTTCTTTAATCCTTCCTTTACTTTTTCTTTTTACTTTGTTTTTTTTTTTTCCTCTCACTTCAGAATCTTACTTTATTCTCCCTCGAACTCAACCCTCTAAAAAGACCACTATCCTCTTCACATTTTGATCCTCATTGTGTTCATAAACAAACAACTCTTCCCTTTCTCTCTATTCCAACTCTTGTGTTTCAAACCTAGAAAGGAATTAATAGGTCACTATTTTTCCTAGCTTATTTTTAAGCCATTTGTAGTTTGAGAATTATATAATTATATTTCTCTTAATTTGGTGTCTTATATAGTTTGTGAATCTTGAATCTTGAAAATCTAGACATAATGATGTCCTCACCTTCAGAATTAAGCCTTGAATGCAAACCCCATCAAAGCTATTCTATGCTTCTAAAATCTTTTGGTGAAAAAATTGATCAAACCCAAAATTTAGAAGAATTTGTTGCTCGACTTGAAGAAGAAAGAGTCAAGATTGATGCTTTCAAACGTGAACTTCCCCTTTGCATGCAACTTTTAACCAATGGTAATTAATCTCTTTATTCTATTTTACACATCCTCATGAGCAAAATCTCAAGCTTATATTTCCTTCATAGCTAGGTTTACAAGCTTTTCTCTAATCTCTATAAGATATATAACAGTAGTGTACAGTTTAATATTACATAAGGTAAATATAGCAGTGAATATATTCATAATCATATTCTTAGTCTATTCTAATATGTTGCAGCATGTAACATGTCGTTATTTTTCAGGTTACTAATTCGTACTTTTATGTACGTAGTTATTTTTAGATGATTGTCGTGTATAAAAGTAAAATTCTTCTTTTTCTAGCTTATAAGATTCAAATGGTTTTCTGTGTGCACAACTTTATATGTGCGTGATTTATCAAATCAAAAAAGTACGTGGTTAATTCTTGATTTCTTCTATTAATAGCACAACAATAACAACAACAAACTCTTTTGTAATTTCACAAAGTGGGGTCTGAGAGGGTACCGTGTATGCAAACCTTATCCCTACTTTGTGAAGGTACATAGAGAGGTTGTTTCCGACAGACCCTCGTCTCCTTCAAATAATAGCACAAAATTAAAGCACAAAAAATTTACATAGGCTAAATTGGATAATATTTAATTATATTTCTTGTACCAATTCTAATCTTTTTTTTTTTTTTGGGCCAATTAACAGCTATGGAAGCTTCAAGACAACAACTTCAATCCTATAAGGAAAATCAAGGGAGAAAACCAGTTTTTGAAGAATTCATTCCACTTAAGAATAATAATGCAAGTGGTGAAGGAGATGAAAAAATAACAAACACAACTGATCATAATAAGGCAAATTGGATGACTTCTGCACAATTATGGAGTCCAGGAAGTGAAGAAATTAAAGAAAAATCCACACAAACATCTTCTAAAGAAATTACTGATATTGGTATTTCAAAACTAGCCTTTGACAACAATTTTCCTAGCCCAACACTAGCTCTTGCTTCAACTAAACAAAGTATTGAAATAGTGGAAGATAACAAGAATTTGGAAATAGTGAATAATTATTCTGGAAAAGATAATTCAATATTGGAGCAAGGAAAAGGAGGTTCTACTATTAATCAGCAGCCAGATTCTCAAAGTACAGGAGCTGTAACCAACAGTACAAGTACTCAACAACATAGAAAGGCAAGAAGATGTTGGTCACCTGATTTACACAGGCGTTTTGTTAATGCTCTTCAAATGTTAGGTGGTTCTCAAGGTAAGATATATTTTTGCAAACCAAGCTTTTTTGTTTTATATTATCAGTATAATTTAATCTGTTATTGTTTACGATTTAAGAAATACATGTCATTGGTAGTAATTTAACTTGATAGTATAAAAATATTTGAAGAATTAACCTAAATAGCCCCCACCTTAATCGCTTAAACTAAAATAACGGAGAATTGTATAATTTGTATATAATTCATATACAATATATGTATAACTATGTATAATCAGTGTTTAATCTATGTATACTAGTTAGAAAAAAAAAACAATAAATTTGACTGATTATTTGTGCCCCTCCCTTCTAATTTATGTAGCACCGTTCGAATTTCAACAGTCGAACAAGCTTTTCTTTGATAGTGATTTTTTCATATGCTTTTTCACTTTGTAAGTTGCTCCTTTTTTTTTTCGGGCAAACCCATATTGTTTTCGTTGTAAGGCCATTAAAGGCGAATTGGTGTTTTTGCATTGAATTTAACTTGTATATATAGATAGTTTAGAATTTTTTTCACTATTAGTTATATTTTTAATATGTTATAACGAGTAATCTGTCTAACTTAAGTTCATATTCTTACTAACAGTTACGTATAATTATCTTTTAATGAACTAATAGTGCAAAAACAATCATCATGTCCTCATTTGGTTGTCTTCTTACTTTGGCTAACTACCTTTTGAATATAATGATTTCAGTGGCCACTCCAAAACAAATCAGAGAACTGATGAAGGTTGATGGTTTGACCAATGATGAAGTTAAAAGCCATCTGCAGGTATATCTTGACCAATTCCAACCTCACCCGCAA